ATATGTATATGTATATGTTTATGTATATATATATAATAAAACTATGTATTCTCAGTCAATTTTATCGTTCCATGTGCAATCTGTTTCCTTTTGGTTTAGATCTTGAAATATGGAGATTGTTGTATGTATATATAGTACAGTTCCAACTATTATTGAATATATGAAAGTATAAATTCTGGGGATGGTTGAAAAGGTTTGTGGTATGTGCATTCTAAAGACGTTGATGCCTGTATGTGCTTCATACTCAGTGAGTGAAACTCATTTATGCATTTCAATCATGCACCAAGGTTTTCGTAAGAGTGTGAACGTCCGTGGACTTCGAAGATTTCTATCATTTTGCATCCACAGACACTGATGTTTGTATGTTTACAAATCTGAAATTATCGTACTTGAGTACCAATTTCTGTATGAAATTCTACAATAATTTGGTAAATTTGACTTTTCCGCCACTATAGCATTCTCCTATGTATCTATCGGTGAAAACATGCTGTTCTGTTGCATCTCAATATCGTGAAAAAGAATATGGGAGGATGGTGTAAGTTTCAATAATATTTGAGCCAGTACGAATTCTTTATTTTGTGCTATCTGGTAAGCTATTGATCGTAAGCCTACTAATTATCGCAATTCATTGTTGTATAATCACACTGGACGCAGCGCACACAGCACACATATGTATTTCTAAATTGGTACAAGGTGGGACGCTTTCGGTCTGTCCGGCCCGCACTCTTAGTAGCTCTTTCATATTTCGTCGTCTTCTTGCTCGTCTGCTTAATAGTGTACGGAAGTCTCAATATTTCTCGGATGTGCTTTTCATTTTTGCCCTTTCCCTCTGAAACGTACACGCACAGAACTTGCGCACAGATATCGCTGACGTGTCGCGTGCCTTGCCCATGATATACATTTGCTCCGAAACTTAGTTTTGATGCTTTGTATAAGAGTTCTGATAAGCTTTCTAAACGTTCAATTGAGAATTACAGAGAATGGCACCTGAGGCCACTAATACACATACGCCTGCAAGTCGTAGAAACTCCTCGTTGCGAATGACGGTCAATGACCTGGAGCCCATATGTACTCTGGGCACGGGATCCTTTGGCCGCGTGTTGCTGTGCAGATATACCCGTTCAGATACAATTCCGTTCATTGCGCTGAAGATAATGGCCAAGAACAAGATTATATCTAGCAGACAGGTATGTATGATCCTTGAAATGTTTTAGCGTGCAGCATTGGTAGGTGCACTGGCATGTGAATAGACAACTGATCAGTGAACGTCTCAAAGGAGTTGACGTGCTTGCGCAAATGGTGTATTTGTGTTTGTTGTTTGGGAGCTAAGTATGTATCGATATTTATATACTTGTCTACAGTCCTGTTCAATTAAACTGCGAACACATCCGCTTGTCATTGGCTGTTGTACGTGGTCCTAGTCTCGTTTTTGAGATTTTATAACCATTTAGAGAAGTGCACAACAATTGGAATTCTCATGACACTTGCACTAGATACCAATTAGAAGGGCTTCAACATACTATTTTTTTCACATAAACGCCAGCTTGTTATACCTTCTGTAAGAACATCTGGTAAAATCGTAGTACTTGCTCGTCTTGCACACATTCGCTAGCTCGTTTTTCAATTTGGAGAACATACGGGTGCTTATTGTACACTCAAACTGGAATCATCCGTCGAAGATGAGCTCGATACTCCCGTGGCTTTACCCAATTCTATTGTGCACCAGCGGTCGGGCGCTAGCTGTGGGATTCCAATAGAATCCTGACGATACCATTCGTTTCTCTCGATAGTGACAGTTGTATTGTCTTACTATTATAGTGTATGGTGCGCTGATATGATATAGCATGCTCTTTACCAGACACCTCCTTATCAGATTTAATACTATTTCGGTCATTGTACATTTTGCGCCGAAACTTTGGACAACCACTCTACACAAGTTTATGAAGCAGCGAAATAAAATTGTAAAGCATGTAATTATCAACCAATGTATACAGCGTACGCCCCTTTCATAACATTTTTGTGTTTAATTTATTTTGTTCCTGACAATCACATCGCTTCATTACTTACACATGACATCACTGTATTACTCACGTATTACATAATTTATGACTCACTGTACGCTCGACCCACGTCTGATGTTAACAGGTTGAGCACGTGCGGAACGAACGGTCGCTATTGGGATTGGCCCGACACCCGTTCTGCGTAGCCCTATACTCCGCTTTCCAGGACACTGTGAATGTGTATATGGCCTTGGAATACGTAAGAGGCGGAGAGCTCTTCCGATTTATGCAGAAACAACAGCGATTGCCGTCGAACGTGGCCAGGTTTTATGCCATTGAAGTCTTCCTGGTCATCGACTTCCTGCACAGCAACCATATTATATACAGAGGTACGAACCGACTGTCAGTGAAGAATCCATACGAGTTCAGAAAAGTTGGCGCGGGTGCGAATTGGATCCATACTATGTGATATACCACGCAGTGTGTGTTTGGTGCTGTGCATCGCATGTAGGACACTGCAAGATGAACCGCAGAAGCATTCACATACGTCGCGTTTAAAATGGTACACACTGTATGACAGGCATGCTTGACGCAAACCTGTGCACAGCAGCAGTGATTGTTTTACACGCGGCATCTAAAAACATGCTTGTGCCAATGTGATGTCACCGGATGCCCCGGTGTTCCATGTATAGTCAGTATGCTTTCTCGGAAAAATCTCGGCTTGTAAGCAACAGGTTGATATGCTACCGTAAAGATATTAACACATCGGATTTGTGCTATTTCCACACAGTTCTATGCTTTCCCCCGCAAAAAATATCGACTTGTAAATAATGGGTGAATATGCGTTCGGAAGGATATTCACTCAGCAAATTTGTGCTATGTCCACACAGTTCTATGCTTGTTTCTGCAAATACGGTGCCGAAGAATATCTTCTAATTACTTTCTGCCCTAACAGAGTATGTATCGTCTTGTTTTTGCAGATTTAAAACCGGAAAATATCCTTCTATCTCATGATGGACACATAAAGCTCACCGATTTTGGATTTGCGAAATATGTACCTGACCGCACGTGGACGTTATGCGGGACTCCGGAGTATCTTGCACCCGAAATCATTCTATCTAAAGGTAGGTTTTCAACTTGTTTCGGGGTTTAATATGCACTAACTGTTGACGAGTATATATTCTACTTCTGTAGAATTCTCTATCGTGATCAGTATTACTCAGAGGGCAGCTGTGCTAGTCTGACTAGTGGAATATTCTAAACTGCTTGTGGTTGCTAGTGTACCAAGATTAAACAAGGCACGCCATCGCTGTGTAAGAACTGACTTTGGTACTAAATAGCACATCAATCTATATGCCCCTCGTGCCTCCGCCCTTGCCTATAATTGGACTGTATATTTGATTAGGGTCGTTGGGCTGTAGATTTCGCACAGTTCATCTCGCCCAGGTTGTCATGCGACACTATAACTTCAGTGTGATGCTGATAATATTTCGAAGGGATCTAAGGATTTCTCTTTCTTGCGAATCTATACACAGGACACGGAAAATCAGTGGACTGGTGGGCCTTTGGTATTTTGATATATGAAATGTTAGTTGGGAATACACCGTTTGTTATGGAGTCGCCAATGGTATGTAGTGTTACCTTGCTGCCAGCTCATATATTCTGATTTGAGGGTAGCATTTATGATTATAAAAAAAAATTCCATAATTGCTGACAATTTTGTTTTTGAAATGTGGACAGACATACAGTCGGCCAAAAATGATTTTAGAAGTACCTAATCCTTAGTACTCGAATCTCCACAGAAAATATATGAGAAAGTGCTATCTGGCAGTATACCGAATTCACCGCTGCTGGACGAGTGTGAGCGCAATCTGTTGTCGCACCTGCTTGTAAGTGATCTCACGCTACGCTACGGGTGTAGGCAACGGGGTTCCTCTGAGATCAAAGAGCATCCCTGGTTTGCGGGCACACAATGGGATGCTTACTTATATCGTTCGGTGACTCCGCCCTATTTCCCTGCAGTGGCCGGCCCTTCAGGTATCAGTATGAGTATAAGAGTATTAAGAGATCTGTGAAGTAGAATGTTTGCTATATTGTGGATCCCATGTAGTAGAGAATCCATCCATTGGATAATTACGTGGAATAAATGTGCACATTGCGATAATATATTCTTCGCTGTACATGCTATTGGTTTAACTATTTGAATAGTCATTCCTGGGTGCCAATTCCGTAGTCGGAGTGTTGTAAAATTCTGCCTTCATATTGGTACTGATAGGAATTTCTTTTGGCCATGAACTATGACGCCACTATGCACGCCCTTTTAATCGGTACAAACAGCTGCTAGTAAACGTCAGGCGGCTAAATATCGTGATATATATATCCTGTGTTCATTCCTGATATTTAATTATGTACGAACAGATGCATCCAATTTCGGACATTTTCCGGAACCCTCACTACAAGGAAATTCAGATGGGGTCGATCAGTACGGACATTTGTTCCCAGGATTCACGTCCGATCAAAGCAACGCATTTGGTGAAGTCAAAGTAGCATAACAATCTAGAATAAAATTTAGTAAATATTATGTTGATACTTAAAATCGACAGTCAATGCGATGTGAAGAGAGTTTTAATACTTAAATTCGACAGTCAATGCGATGTGAAGAGTGACTGCACAATGCGATGTGAAGACAGTGACCGCTACAATGCGATGTGAAAAGTGACTTGCTACAATGCGATGTTTAAAGTGACTTGCTACAATACGATGTTTAAAATGACTTGCTACAATGTGAGGGTTAAAGTGACTTGCTACAATACGATGTGAAGAGTGACTTGCTACAATGCGATGTTTAAAGTAACTTGCTACAATGCGATGTTTAAAGTAAC